TATTAATGGTGGAATTTTAACCCAGCTCCATCTAACTCTCTTCTCTCCGTTATATCAGGCAGCCTCCCCATGTGCAAATAAATACTACTTTTCCTATTTTTACAGATAAAGAAACCAAAATTTAGAGATGTCAAATAATTTGCTCAAAGACTCATAAAAGGCAGGGGATGGGGCATTAGCCAGGATTCTAACCTGGTTTGAGGTAATTCCAAAAGCCATAGTCTTCCTTTTATAGTAGCTACTTGATGATTCAGGTTTATGATAGCTAAAATGTTTTGCTTAGACTCTAAAGAAAATTTAAAGCCATCAAAATTGCCTCACCGACTGTTCTTCCATAATATATTGAAGGTGTACTGTAGAGCTGCTGTCCTTCAAGAGCTCATATCCTAAGTTATTTTTTTTTTTTATGCCAAGAATCAAACTCAGGACCTTGTACTTGCCAGGCAGGCACTGTGCCCCTGAGGTATATCCCTGGCTCACGTCCTAGGAAGCAGTGCACGTTACTCATACTGTTGGTTAGATTTTTATCAGGAACATTTTCTTGAGGTTTCCCTCCTGTTTGTTTTAAAAAGTGGCTCTTCCGCAAGAGGGAAATATTTACTTGGGAGCAGGTGACTTGATCCATTGGACAGGGAAAATCTTAGAAGAAATCACAGAAGGCTTCCCAGAACACAAAGAATATAACTTGATTTGGGTGAGGATAAGTGTGAAGAAAAGCCATTCCAGGTAGTGGTGGACAGCATGAAGAAAGCTATCAGAGTATAGGGAATTTGGGTTAATTTTGCCAGTCCATCCTGCATTCCCCTTTCCTCTGATAAAAATACCTGTTTCCCTAGGAAACCACTGCTGTCATTACGTGATCCTACCCTGTCGTAGGGTGTGCACATGACTCATGCTTAGCTAATGGCCAATCACTTTAGGCCACTGCTGTGGCCACAGTGATTGTCAGAGATGAGCACACTTTCCTCTTAGCACATATGAGAGTTTATTCTGAATTTTTTGAACTATTGAGAAAGATGCATTCTTTGAGCCCTGGAGTGGATGAGAGACTGGAATGTAAACCTGAGCTGAGCGAGTTGGTGCATGCCTGTCCACATGGTTACTTGGGTGTTTGAAGCAGAGAGATTGCAGGGTCAAGTCAATTTAGTGAGACTATATCTCACTAAAAAAAATGAGCTTGCTAATAGAAAACAGAGTCTATGGACGAAGACCAAGTTCTGAGGACAAACGAGATTGATAGCTAGGTCTAAAGCTAGTGCTATCTTTGGACTCCTAATTATATGAGCATTTATTATATATTTATAATATATTATTGTAATGTGAATGTTGATTATATGTGTTCAGTATATATATTGTAATATATTTATTTATTTATTTATTCATTCATTCATTCATTCATTCATGGTTTTTGAGACAGAGTCATGCTTTTACCCCAGGCTGGTCTTGAACTTGCAGTGATCCTTTTGCCTGAGCTTCCCAAGTCCTAGGATTACATGTATGTACCACCACACCCTGAAATTTCAGTATAATTTGATAGAAAATAAAAGTGCTGACTAATAAAGTCAGACTGCTCTTGATGTTGTGGTGAGGCCAACTTGCTAAGAAGAAATGATTGGATAAGAATATAAGAACTTCCTTTCACATAAAAGGTAGATTGATGCTAGATTTAAAGACAAGTGAACATTTATTCATCATCTGTTGACTAAGGGTCAGTGGTTGTAGGTATACAAAGAGGACCAATAAAATCCTTGCCCTCAAAAAAATGAAGGAGGGGGCTGGGGATATAGCTCAGTGGCACAAGCGCCTGCCTGGCAAGCGCAAGGTCCCGAGTTCGATTCCTGGTACCCAAAATAAATAAATAAATAAATAAATAAAGGGATCTTATAGAGAAATAGATAGGTGTAAAGATTACTTGAATTACCAAATAGCAAAACATGTACTAGGGCTTATGCTAGGTAATGAAGAGCAAAAATAAGGACAAGCCTCATGAGTATTTACAAATCTAGTAATCTAGTCAGGTGGCTGCAGAAATAATCAAAATCTATGGAGAAACAGATATACTGGAAAATGAAAATATACAAATCCTAGTTGAGTTTATCAAAAAGTAAAGATAACTTAAACCTGTGGGAGTAGAAAGGTAATAATACCATTGCTAATAACAGCAACTAACGCTGAGCTCTGTGTTCGTTAGCTGTCTATCACTGTGATGAAATGTCTGAGCTAGTTAATTTAAAAGGAGGAAATGTTTAATTTGGCTCCTAGTCTCAGAGCTTTCCTTCCATGGTCAGTTGGCCCTGTTATGCCAGGCCTGTACAACATCAGTACATGATGGCAGGTACCTGGGGTATAGGAGGCTTGTTCTTCTCATGGTGGCCAGGAGGCAGAGAAAGAGGAGTCGAACAGGCTAAGGTGCTGTTATAGTTTAGATCTAAAATGTCCCCCCAAAGTCTCATGTGTTCATGGGTGGGCTTTTGGAAGGTGATTGAATCATGGCAATTAA